TTATTAAATATAAATAAATATGACATTTAAATTTGTAAATATCACATTGTCACCATTCAAGGGGTAAAATAAAATAGCAGATAAAAGTTTTTATGGAAATTCGTCATATTTGAAGCTAGAACGATGAAGCTTTTTTCTTACGCTTATTATGAAAGTGAAAGTGACTCTGTCTGTCTGTCTTAAAAGCCAAAACTTCTGAACTGATTTAAATGAAATTTAAAGTCTAGATCTTGAGATAGGACATAGGTTACTTTTTAATGCTAAAAAGGGTTATAAGAGACTGAAAGAGGAATTTTTAAAAGTTTAAGCTTCAATCTTATTTTTTTGCGTATTGATTAAATATAATTAACGAAAATGGGTTGTAAGGGTCAAAAGGGGAGTTAAAATGCTGTATGTATGTATTGTCATTTTTTAAAGCTAGAAACTTGAAATCCACTTTTTAGGCTGTTGAGAAAATATCAGTACCTACCGCCACAGGACTCAGCCATAAATGGTTACAGTATAGCGACATCTTATCATTGGTACATGATGACACTAATATAAGTAGCATTAAAAAAAACAAGAAAAAGGGTTATAAGGGGTTGAAAGGGGAGATGTAATGTATGTATGGTATGTATGGAAGTATCTTCATTTTAAAGATAGTAGTTTGAAACTTAGTTTTTGGCTGTTGATTGAATTGTATGGAATTATGTAAGAAAATTTTCATTATTGAAGCTAGAACGACGAAACTTTTTTATTGTATAGATTATTAATATATATTTTTTATTATTTGGTCAAAGTCACTATTTTACGCGGACGAAGTCGCGGGTACAGCTAGTAAACAAATATTTGTAGTCTGCGAGAAAATGAACCCGCGACCATTGGAAGTAAGGCGGTGTGCTAAACTGCTCGACCAACGTGGCCGTCAAAATAACAAGGAATATCCTTAATTTAGATCAAATTATAAGTATTTTTAACCATTTGTATACCAGCTATCACTAATTTTGTGAAGCCCAATGACCAACCCCACCTGGATATATTTAGTGAGCAAGATTAAGTACAAGTATTTTTGACTACATGTTGCCCGCGATAAAAAAATGTCTAAAACAAAAGTAGTCTAAGTTACTCCTTGTAATGCGAATGAAAGTCAAAATCGGTTCAGTCGTGTCAGAGATAAGGACATGACAAAAATTTTAAGTTTCATATAATCCAGTAAAACCTTGACTTTAAAAAAATGTTTTTATTTTTTATTAAAAAAATAGTTTTTGTGTTTACAACATTAAGAAAGTAGCGAGTAACATTGAAAAATAGACATTTGACAAAGAAGAAAGAGACTTAGCACATAAAGAGAAGGAACTAAGAGGATTAAAGAAAGTGCATGAACACAAAAGAAAAGATGGATGGCCTGTCTGAACCATGATATGCATAATAGTAGAGTAAAATCAGACTCTCCTATGATGAGACCTCATAAGACTTATCTTTATAAGACCTAGTAGAAGAAGGAAGACACGTCGCCCCAAATACTAAGTAATTATGATTTGAAATAAATATGCATACAAGAAAAGTCCGTTAAAATTATTCAGAAACACATCCGTGTGAGAGTTGACAACAAGAAAATACTAAATAATTAGCTATTCATGTAACCTCTAAATCTCCAAATACCTACTGTCGATTTTACACTTTCCTGCATTTAACTGAAACTAAAAACCACCCGAACCATTGTTCCGTGAGCGGGCAAACATAAAATAGTTAAAATCAACAAGTCAAACCGACGGAAGCCGTTAAGTAGGGCACGAGAATCGAAAATTTCGATTGCTGCAGCGGAAACGCTAACTTATAACAATTCGTTTATGGTCCATTTTCGTGCAGTTAAGTTTTGCGGTGAAAATGAAAGTTGCGAGCAGACAACATTTTGCACAAACGAATTTGAATACCGAATTCTCAATCCGGCGTTCAAGAGTTATGACTTTGCTCTTTATGGAATCTGTTGCCCTGGTATCTTCGAATTGCTTTTCAGCTGAGCCACCTAAGTAAATTAACCCAAACATATTATGTATTTTAACCGACTTCAAAGAGAACTATTAACTTAATTGTATTTTTTACTTGGCTGTAATAGAAAAGAGTAAAATATTTAAGACATTATTAATTAAAAAACTATGTATTACATACTCGGAACATTTCCAGGTAAAGGTCAAGTTATATAAGTAACCTGAATCATCAATTACGTAACTTAGTTCAATAATAGTCATATAATATTCTATTTAATACTATTACTAATGTAATAAAGCCTATCCTACTGCTGGAGACAGATTACTACCATCCCTTCAGATGTTTCTATCGTACATCACCTCGAATAGTCCTGGACTGGACTTCACCGGGCTATATCTATTTAGTGTAACAGTTACTCTGGGTGAAGATCATGTCATGCCATATTCCCCTTTAATCCTTAGCAATTTCGACACAATCAAAAAGATATTTATCGTAACAGATAGTGGTCAACCTTATTGCTTATGTACATAATTGTGATTTAGTATACTCGTGTCTAGAGCCCTAAAACATAGAAAATAAATTTTACAAATGTAAATCGGTTTGTTTTTACTTCTTACTATAAATCTAAGATATTGAAGATTTTTTAATTATAGATTAGTTAATAGAAGTATATTATTGTTTTCTACATTCATTTGTACATACAATGGGCTTGATTTTGAATCACAAGGTCATGTTCCCCTTATGAAACCAAACAACAAAAATGCATTATCAACCTGAATTTGTAAAAACTAATTTTATTGCTTTCATGCTAATTCAATTCTTTATTTTAATATGGATGATACTTTTAGAACTAGATAATCTGTAATAATGACATCAATAAGAAATTTTGTTTCTTAATTTAACTTTATATAGACTCATACTTTATTGTTGTGTATGTAATAAATAACTTTATTGTAACTTAACAAAAAAGTTTTACAACATATAAAAACATTGACTGCAAGAAAAAAAGAAGAAGACAAATCTGTAATAAAATTCGATGCTTGGAGGTCTTACAAACGAACATGTTATATTTTTTCATAGATTTCGGGTATTAATGACGGTCCAATGCCTTCCGTATATGTTTTCCTGGTAACCTCATCTTCAGTCTCTATTTGTCTATGTTTTATGACACACCATTGTTTAATCTGATCATGGGTTCACTTGATTGCAGTCACTTAACGTTATCAATATTTATATTATCACTTTATTAAAAAAACATGCATTCTATTGTTGTAGTAATATATGTATGTATATATATTTTTATCGTTCATTACTTGATTGCAATTCATTTTAATTATGCATTAGTGCTGCGTCAGTTGACATAAATTAGTAGAAATATATATAAACTTAATATAACCAACCACTTTGGGATAGTCATATTTCTTTGATTATACCACTCAAGCACAATGAGCAAGAAACTTGTGTGGCTGTAGTTATATCGATTGTGCTTTTGAAAACAGATAAATCAATCATACAATATAAATTTTAGAAACCACCTAACCAACTCTCTATTGATAAAAATCACAATAACAAAACAAGTTTGGCTTTGTAATGTAATCTAATCACATTCGTTGGACCATCCGTGTCTTCGAAAGTGACAGTAACTCGTTTGATCGCGGGTCGCGTACCAATATATTGACTCCAAATTCTGAATCAAACCATTGTGGACATGATTGCATTATATAATTTCACTAGCTACCCGCCCCGGCTTTGCACGGGTGTATATGTATTATACATATAAACATTCCTCTTGAATCACTATATACTGCTAAAAACTGCATTAAAATCTGTTCTAAACTGCATTAAAAAGATCTAAGGGAAAGGGACTTCATTTTATACTATTTAAAGTATTAGTACCTTAAAATATATCAAAATACAGCTCATATCTTAGGAATTGCATGCGAAGGCATCGGTGGTCTCGTGTTTGTTGTGCAAACATTGTATTTATGAGTATGATTGTTTTTATACGTCTGCATATTTTCTATGTATATAATGTAGGTGTATCAATCGTTTAGTACCCATAACACAAGTTCTGCTTAGCTTGCGACTAGATGGCGCTATGAGAATTGTCTTGTTATTTTTATTATTATTAACATTTTCAAGTGTTACTTATATAAAATAGTCTATATCCTTATATAAATAAAAATCCCCTTCATGATATTCGGTCCCGCACTAAAGTACATATCTACGCAACCAAGTTTTATTACATTAGACTATTAAGTAGTAATTTTGTTCATTTTAAAGTACATACGCCTATGAGTGACTCGTAGTAATTTGATTTTGATGAATATGGATTGGACAAAACATTTGCCGGGTTGTGTAGTATATTTTTATACTATAAAATACTATTATGTCATTTAATTACATTCTGATACAGTAACCGAGTTACGATTATACGAACTATTAACATATTATCGCTTCACGACATTTTTTCTATCAATAACAAGATTTCTTTATAAAATTTTTCAGATTTTCTCAACACGTTCTGTTCTCCTGGATGCTTACAAAAGCTTTTCAAATACACGTGACCGTGTTATAACATAATCACGTGTATTGAATCATTAACATAACGCAATTACAAACAATGTTATATAAATGGCCTGATAGTGACACATGCTTATTCAAAAAACGTGATTATAGAAAGCGCAATATTGTCCCCGTCATTTCCAATCATGTGCAATTAGCAACACTGATGTCAGTTGCATTACTTAATTTAAAACAATTATGTCGCCCTTAACAAGAATTTAATAGGGATTTCCTCGAAATAATTGTTGTTATTAAAGGAAACTGTAATGCTCAATCACTTAATGAGATAATTGTGAATTGAAGAAAAATGTAATAGCTGATTGTAGACTTGTTGCAAGCGAAAACACATTGCGCAATACTCCCATAAAATTTTCTTTACACTATATGATTTATGACTTTCCACAATCAGTAGCACATTTTAGTACATGTCACACACAAGAGAAGCGCAGTTCAAAACTAACACTCACCTATGGTCAAAGCGTATGATCTGGCGCATGAGGGGCACCAAGTTGCAGCATCGATCGGCAAAGCTCCGTGATCTCTGGATGATTCAGATTGATTAGATGCACGTACATCTGTTTGTGTAGGCTCAACTCTCCCGACACAGCCTCCAGCCTCTTTAGCAGCGCCTCTTTCTCTCTAAGCAACGTTTTCACTTTTTCCTCCACTTCTCTGGAACGCACTTTTGCTTTTTCACGGGATTTCCTCACAGCTATATTGTTGCGCTCACGCCGCCTCCTGTACTCGTCTGTGCCTTTGTCTATCACTTTACCTGACGAGCGTCGCGCTGGTGCAGGCTTGTGTTTCAGGAGAGGAGGGAGTAACGGTGCGCCTAAAGGTGGCAAAGGTGTAAATCCTCCACCGTACGGACCACTCACACCAACCGGTGGCTGAGGGTTATACTGGCCAGTATACTGTGCACATGTCACTGATCTCCTAAAATCATGAGGCTCTGGTGGTTCCTCCTTGATCGGCGGCGCTTGTTCATGTCCCGAGTTGGGCTGGACTGGAGCAGCGTACGAGGCTCCCGAGTGCACTGGCTGGGGCATATACGCTAACGTCGTTCTAGCAAAACTCTGTCTGGGCTGCGGAGAGCGGCCACCGGGAAGTATCTCCTGGAAGAGGGCCATGGTCTCCTCCCCCCGGAACTGGTCCTCGATGAGGTGTTGCAAATCCAAGCTGATTTCCTGTCCATTGAGCTCGTCTAGGTCGGGAGGAGGGAAGGGTGTTCTCTTGTCGTCCACCGTCTTCTTGAGGTCGGGCTGCGGTGGCGGCGGGGGCGCTGCCGCCGCGTCGTACATCTGCGGGGACTCCATGCCGCCGGCCGGGCCGGTGGCGGGCCCAGCGGCGCCGGCGGCTCGAGCCTCCACTTCAAAGCACTGAGTGGCAGCCACTTGTACACATGCACCGTCCGTCAATCCGAATATTGTTTGTTGTAGTCGCGTGTTTGTCACGTGTTGACACTGGAGGAGCGTGAAGTAGCGCGTGCGAGCGCTACGAGAGTCGGGCGCGGACTGGCGCGGGCGCCGGCCCACTGCTAACGCAAGGTTGCGCGGAAGGAAGTGCGCCGCGCTGAAAGTTCTCAGTAAAAGTTTGGGGGTGATCACTTTGTACGGCATCTCGCCCACTTCATTTTCGCGTCCGTGATATTTTCACGTTTTAATTTGTACGATATCTATAACCCTTATAGATATCGTACAAATTATTAATAAGCTATATTATTATACCACATATGTATTTCTATATATTTATTGATTATTTAAGTTTTGTATATTTACAATGTTGCATTGGAATATAATAATAATTTAGATTTTATCGATACTTGGTAGATATAGAAAAAAATCTAAATTAAAATCAAATCTAAATTATAATTATATTCAATGCAACATATGTATAAGTAGAACCTCTAATATTTTATCCTGCCATCATTGAAAACTGCTAGTTTTATACATTACTAGCTTTTTCCCGCGACTTTGCTCGCGTTAAGAAGTATTATTATTAATTAGGTATAGTTTTTGCGGCTTTACTTTTGTTTCCTTTCTTAGGGGATGCCTACGTCATAGTAGCTTTATGCATGCAAAGTCTCAGCCCGATCGGTTTAAAATTGACAAAGTTTCATACAAACTTTCATCCCCTTTGGAGGTAGAATTAATCAAAATCCTTTCTTAGCGGATGTCTACGTCCTAACATCTACCTGCATGCCAAATTTCAGCCCGATCCGTCCAGGGGTTTGGGCTGTGCGTTGATAGATCACTACGTCAGTCACCTTTGAATTATATATATTTATATTAAGTATACTATTAATTCCTTGCAATTATTTTTTAAAGAGAATAAATTGATAGTTTTTTAAACATTTATGAACATTTTGATATTTCTACCGAAATAACTCGTAACAAGATGTCTGCGTGGGTGTATACCTACCTCATTCTTACTTAATTCAGTCACAGAGGATGTTTTTTTGTATTAAAGGTCTGTGTATAAATAATAATCTTTATATTTGTTTTTAATATTAACACAATATAAAAAATAATATAAATTAATCTTACATCTACATATACACACTTAAAAGTCATTATTTATAAATACTTGTAATATTTTATTTAATTTAAAATACACATTACTAATAACTAAATTAAATAAAACAAAAATATTAAAGAAAACGCAATAAATTTATACTCTATTTATATTGAATTAAGTAATTCATATAAAAAAATTCTAATTATAACTTTTATTCACAATACTTATTATTTTACAATACATTCTTGTTTTTGAATGAATACGGAATATCTTAGAATATATTATATATTAAATATAATATAGTCAATGTATAATTGTGATTATTACTATTTTTTTTATTATTTAGTTAGCGTATGCGAAGGATTTCTCAAGCATATGACAAATAGGATAAAGTCACAGATATGTCACATGTATGTGACATATCTGTGACTTTATCCTATAATAATAATGACGCTAAACATATTAATTATTAAAAATATAAAATAAAAAATCTTCTATTATAAATACGCTATGTACTTTTTTTTATTATTAAATTTTACTTTTTTATTATTAAATATATATTTAAATGTTACTATTTTTTGGTGATTATTTCTCGTATGCGAAGGATTTCTCATACATGTGACAAATAGGGTACATACACGTGACATAGCCGTGGCCTTATCCAGCTATACACAAAACATGGCTATCGTCACGAACTGAACTATCAAAGTAATCGGCCATATCGATTAAAATGTAATCGATTGCAAACATCGAGATGTGACACGGCCTTCCAAACGTGTACTATCAATACATATACAGTGACGAAATTATATTATCTACACGATTTCTTAATTTCTAATAAAAAAAAAAATAACTATTTTTTCATCTTCTTTCTTAAGATATATAGACATTATGTTTATTGAAATAATTTTGCGTTTTGTTCGTGTGAATTTATTCAATGTTGTTCAGAATTAGATATATTTTTAAGAATTTGTGTAAATACAAACTACCAAAATTGACTGTACTAGCAACTAGCAAAGTTGAATTTCTAATAAAAAATCTATTTTATAGTCCAATTTCTTGAGGTAAATAAAACAATTTTTTATTCTACGAATCATTCGGAACGCAGACTCATCGCAAGAAGAATGTGTAAGAAACGTGCATTTTGCTGTTTTTAATAAATTTTATTAAGGATTCTGTGTGAATACAAACTAATACATTTGGTTATAATATTTATTTTGATTGTATTTGATTGTAACTGCAAATTTAATGTATAATATCTAATAAAGAAATGATTCATTATCGAGATAAATAGATATAGAAATAATTCTTCAAATAAAAAATCACGTTTTGATCTTTGAAATAAATATTGTTAAAAAATTGCTAAAAAGCAAAGTTGGTATAAATAGATAGCTACTTTACTAACAAAATAAATCTTATTAAAGTAAATTAAAAAATATTTTAATTATATCATAATAACATAATTACAGAACGCGTCACGATTAGACCCAGGTCTGGGCCTGGGAAAGATAATAAACAAAATAAGCTAATACAGTAGCGAGCCTGGGCTGTTTAATGTTTTTATCTTATATATAAAATTCTCGTGTCATAGTTTTCGTTCCCATACTCCTCCGAAACGGCTTGACCGATTCTCATGAAATTTTGTGAGCGTATTGAATTCGGCCAACATCTATTTTTCATCCCCCTAAATGTTAGGGGTAGTCCACCTCTAAATTTTTTTTTATTTTAAGGCAAAACAACGTTTGCCGGGACAGCTATTACAATGTGTTATATAAAATTACAATTTAGATTTGTTTTCCTGGCTGTATTACCTATTACTTTACACTATCACCACGCGGTTCCCTTTGTGATAGCTTCCTAGTGATGAATTTTAAAATAATTTTTCACATAAGTGGTGATTTTATCATCACATCGATATTATTTTCGTCAAAGAAATTGTTATTCTAATACCAGCAGCTGAGTTTCACCAGCCGCCCGCCAGAAACTAAAATACCATCCTGGTCATCTGGATGAATGGCGGTCCTCCACAGTGCAGTTTTCTAGAAACTTTTTGCCACGCACAACTACATTGTGGAATCACCTTACAGCAATGGCATTTCCGAACCGATACGATATTGAAACCTTCAAGAAAAGAGCTTATTCCTTCTTAAAAGGCCGGCAAAGGACTTGGACTTACAATTGCCTGGTGTTGCTGCTGTTCATGGGAAGCGGTAATTACTTATGTACCATCAGGTGAGTCGTAGATTCGTTTGTCTCCAGTGCTATAAAAAATCTATTAAGAAAAGAATAAAATGCATTTGTGTAATGTCGGCGTCGTAACTAGTATATTTATAATAACTAGAAATTATTGTTTTATCTTGCCAGCTAAAAGTGGTGGGTAGGCCATTTTATTGCTACATTTGCGATATGTCGTGCACGTGTATATGTTTATAACATTTATTTTCTGTATTCAATTACATTAGTACGGTACATTTTTTAGGTAGTAAGCATATTTCTGTACAATAACATTAATTAACACAGCAATATAATAATAACGTTTTATGTTTAATAAAAAAATGGTTGAATCACCTACATTGGCACTATTATTCCCCCACGCAAAGGAGGGGTTTATAAGTTTGATATTTGAGTATGTCTGCGGCATCATCATAGCTCCTAAATGAATGGACCGATTTTGATGCGGTTTTTTTTTGTTTGGAAACTAACTCAACTGTATATGGTTCTTAACTACAATTTATTTGTCTCTAGACTACAACTTACTTGTGCTGTGATTGTTATAACAGATGTTCTGCCGAATTTGAGACTAGATGGCGCTTTGATATTAGGTAGCGCTGATATCGTCACATTATTAATTAGTTTATTGATACTTCAGTCAATTTATAACCTCCTAGTAATTTCTGTAGGACTAGTAACAACCCTCGTCAGTGTCCAAGTTGTCTATTGAGAGTTTACTGAGTTTATATGCTCCTAGTAAATACTGAGACACTAGGAAAAGCCCCTTACGTCCCCCCCCCCCCCGCCTCGTCCGCCCAACCCCTATTATCGATCGATTGCTATTGAAAGTTTACTCAATTCATAGACTCCTAGTAAATACTTGAGTTGTCACTCGACAATCACTACTAAGTTCTGCTTACTTTGGGATCATATAACCTGACTATTTATGTCATCACATTACCTGACTACATATTTATTTTTGTATACTTTACTTATGTAGTTCATATGCTCCTAGTAAATACTGAAATACTAGGAACAGCCCCCTCCATCCTTACCCCTTGTTATCTATTGATTGGGAGTTAGCTATTGAAAATTGTTTCTCTTCATAGTCTCCTAGTAAATGCTTCCGTTGTCACTTGACACACGGTACTAACTATTAAGGCAAGTATTGCTTACTTAATGTGATGCCGCCAATATTTCCCATTTATTTGTTGGTACTTTAATCAGTTTATATGCCCCTAGTACATACTGAAGCTCTAGGAACAGCCCCCTCCATCCCCACCCCTTGGTATCGATTGATTCGGAGTTAGATATTGAAAATTTACTCAGTTCATATTCTCCTAGTAAATGCTTCACTTGTCATTAGACACTCAGTACTAAGTGCACACAAGTTTTGCTTATGAGATGGCTAATAATTCCTATTTACTTGTTGATACTTTACTCGGTTCATAGACTCCTAGTAGTTGTTAGAAGAGACTCACTACTAGGGCACAAGTTCTGCTTAGTTTGGGATGATATGGCGCTAATATCTTCTGACTATGTATTTGTTGATACTTTACTCAGTTCATAGACTCCTAGTAAATACTGA